ATCTGGCCTTCATATCGTCCTCCTTTTCCCATGTAGCCTCCTCTTGAGTTAGATCCCTCTAAATGACTTTGACCATCGGAATAATCTTATTCCGTAGCTGCTTAACCTGTTGATCTATCACTTTCACCGATTTCACTTCAAAGGTGAGGTTATCTTGTAGCTCTATGTCCTCGTATTTCAAAACATGCGAGGGATCCAAATGATACTTCTTCAACTGAGAAACATGAAAGACATCATAAATCTGACTCAGATTAAGGGGTAGGGCCAATCTGTAAGCCACCGGGCCAACTCTTGATAAGATCTGGAAGGGTCGATGAACTTTGGCGTCAATTTATGGGCTTTGATCGATCTTCCTATACCCGTAGTTGGAGAAACTTTCAAGTAAACATGATCTCCAACTTCAAACTCTAGAGGCCTTCTCCGTACGTCGGCGTAACTTTTTTGTCTACTCTGTGCTGTAAACAGCCTCTGTCGAATCATCTTAATTTGTTGTGAAGTTTGTTCTACCAAGTCGGGACCAAATATCTTTCTTTCTCCCAATTCAATCCAACACAATGGGGATCTGCATTTCCCCCCGTACAATGCTTCATAAGGAGCCATTTGGATACTGGAATGATAACTATTATTATAGGCGAACTCTGCCAGTGGCAAGTATTCATCCCAGTTCCCTTTGAAATCTAGGACACAAGCTCTCAGCATATCCTCTAATGTTTGAATAGTATGTTCTGTTTGCCCGTCAATTTGAGGATGATAGGCTGTACTGAAACTTATTTTAGTGTCCATGGTTTCCTGTAATGCTCTCCAAAACTTAGAGAGAAATCTCGAGTCCTTATCGGAAATAATCGTTTCCGGTACTCTGTGCAACCTCACAATTTCTCGGATGTATATCTGCGCCAACTTTTCTGGTTGGTACTCTTTCTTAATGGCCAAGAAATGAGCTGACTTTGTCAGGAAATCTACAATCACCCATATCGCGTTGTAACCTGACGATGTACGATGTAATCCCATTATAAAATCCATGGAAATGCTTTCCCATTTCCATTCCAGGATACTCAGGGGTTGTAAGGATCCTGGCAGCTTTTGGTGTTCTGTCTTTGCCTTTTGACAAGTGAGGCACCTCGACACGTAGTCTGTCACATTTATTTTCATACCGGGCCACCAGAATGATTCCTTCAAATCCCGATACATCTTGGTCATGCCTGGATGTATGATGTACCGACTCTTGTGTGTCTCTTCCAAAACTAGCCCCTTAATCTCTGAGTTCGGGGGGATATAAGTTCTTCCTTTATATTTCAGGATCTCTTCCTGAGTTATCTCGAAATCATTTGTCTCATTTCTTAGCACTCTGGATTTCAATATGTCGGCCAGTTGATCTCTCTGTTGGGCTTTCTTGATTTGTTCTATGATTTGCGCTTCTACTTTCACAATACTGATTTGTCCTGCCATCAATTGTATCTGGCCCGTGAGATCCCAATCTCGAATATTCTCGATCAACTCTTGTTCTTTTATCATCAACGATGCCACCTGCATCGTTTTCTGGCTCAACGCATCTGCTACCACATTCGCTTGTCCCGGATAGTATTTGATTTGATAATTGTAATCCTTGAGCAATTCCATCATTCTCCTTTGTCTCATATTGAGTTCTTTCTGGTCTTGCAGGTACTTGAGGCTTTTATAATCACAATACAATTCAATAGTTGCCCCATACAGGTAATGCCTCCAGATCTTCAAGGCATAAACAATCGCTGCCAGCTCAAGATCATGAGTGGGATAGTTCTCCTCATGAGTCTTTAACTGTCGTGAGGCATAAGCAACCACTCGACCCTGCTGCATCAGCACACATCCCAATCCTTGCTTAGTCGCGTCCGTATATACCACATATGGGAATGTAGGATCGGGGATTATTAACACGGGAGTCTAGGTCAGCTTCTGTTTCAGTTCCTGGAAGCTTGCCTCACACTTACTATCCCAATTGAATGGCTGATTCTTTTGGGTGAGCTTAGTCAACAGTAGGGCAATCCGTGAAAGATCTCGTATAAGCCATACATAACAGATTTTTCAAATAAAAAAATTAATTTAAATATTAAAAACTAACAAATGGGTAAACCTAAACCGATTAAAATTAACTACTCATTTACCTTTAAATTTCTATAATCATCTATTACCAAAACTCAATACTTATATCATATATAAGTCTCAAAATTTTCTCTAAATACTATAGTAATACTATCATTAGGAAGCCTAAAATATATAGGAAATATTCATGAAGAAAGTTTGATAAAAAGAAGTATATTTGTGTACCTAAATGATTCTCAAAACTTATATTACTCTTTAAAATGTTAAAACTTCTCTGCTTCTCTCTTATTCTCTCTTTCTTTGATTCTCGTTCTCTCTCTTTCTCTCTGCACTCTCAATTTCTGCCTCCCTCTCTCCCTTTTATTCTTCATTTTTCAATCACCTTTTATTTTTTTCTTCTCTTATTAAATATTCCTCCCCAGTTTCTTCTTCCTCTTAGATGAATGCCACAGCTTTCCACCAAATTCAGTGGAAAAGCTGTTTCACTTTTGTTTAATATATTGAAATATTATTTTTATTATAATAATAAAATTTTATTATTTTATTATTTTTTTTAAAAAAGTCTTTTTTTAAACTAAATCCTAAAACAAAATCTAGGATACTACACATCCAAAGAGGAGTGTTATGAATATAATAATATTTTTATATATGTCCATATATTTTCTATCATCTCCTATATCTCTTATCATCTCTAATATCTCTCACTATCTCTATATCCCACAATTATATCTTATTATTATGTAATATGTAGATTCTGTTAAAGATGTAAAATTGTGCCTATAAATAGAGGCAATGTATCATATATTTAGAACTCTTAAATAGAATGAGAAATACTCTCTCTTGTTGATCCTCTCTTCTTTTATATTATTCTTTTCTATTTTTTCTTTATTTATAACAAGTTTTTGATAAATAACTAGTTTAATTAATTTTTTAATCTACACAACTCTCTCTTAATTTTTATCTCCTATTTATGCGCAAGATTAACATGGATAAGGAATGTTAAAGTTATAGGGTTGATGAAAATTCCTAATCAAAATAAGTTGTAATGTTTTATCCATTCTAAAATTAGTGATGAAAATCTTATTGCATTAACTGATTTCTTTGATGATTTCAAAGGTCCTCATTTGATGTTCATCGTGATGAGCTGTTGAGCCCCTTGTCCTTATTTTCATAATGAAATTTGAATCATTTAAAACTTAGTTTAAATAGTATAGATTTAGTCCCCTGGTTCGACCTTGGAATGCTGTTTGTTGGCAGCCTCTTTTTGTGAGTTGTGTTAAATATAATGTAGATGGGGCGGCGACAAAAGGGGGAGCATTAGCAGCCTGTGCAGGAGCTGCAAGAGACCATGATGGAAGTTGGCTCGACGGCTTCATGTTTCATATTGGGTATGGTAGTAGCTTTCATGCAGAGGCTTGGGCAGTGCTCTGGGGTTTGAAAAGAGCTTGGGATATGCAGTGGAGGTGGGTCGTCATTGAAATTGATTGTAGAAAACTTGTAGATACCCTCACCACCGGCTGGCATGATGAGCATCCAGAGAGAGGGGCTCTTGACGGAGATTCAAGGGTGGATGGAAAAGGATTGGGACGCGAGCATGGCTTGGTGTGGACGGGATGGGAACGTGCTGGTAGATTCCCTAGCTAAGGCTACGTTGAACGTAGTTGAAGGGATTAGCTTTATGTCTTCTCCCCGGCGTTTTCTGAGAAGCTCGTTGATTCAGATTTAATTCAGTAGTTTTCCTTTTCTGCTCGTAATAAAAAAAAATTTAATTTGTAACTTTTTAATAATAAATTTAACTTTTTTAGAAGTATTAATTATAAGATTATTTTTATTATTTTTGACCAAAACAATAATATCTTTATTATAAATTCCATATTTATTAAAATATGAAAAATACTTAAGTTAAATTTGGATCATCCAAAATTAATTTGTATGGTTGAGATTAGTTATCATCATAATTTTTATAAGCATGTACCCATTCATTCTCATTTATAATTTTAAAAAAATTTATATAAATCAAGACAAAACTTCTCTCATATTTTTATCTCGTACTTCTTTATTTACCAACGATGATACCCACATTTTATCACATATTATGGGTTTATTATGTTGTATTTTTTTCATTTTAAATGTGAATTGTTTTTTTATTAAGAAAAACTTATGCCTATAAACTTTCAAGGGTTTTAAACAGCACTTTTATTTCGAGAGTTTTTAAAAAGAAACTGTGGGTGCAAAAACCAGTTTTTGATACAATTTTGTTCCGAAGGTACTGAAATCATTGCAGTCCTGTTCTGATAGACCGAAACAGTCAATGTCACTTTAATAGTGGGAGAAGAGCCCATGCCTTGCGATGCCAACGTCATTTCCGTCTGCTTTCTTGAATGCAGTATACAGATATTTTGAATTGAATATAAAAAATAAAATGAGCTAAAATCTTATATCTAAAAATCAAATCTAATTTTTAATTAATTTTTATATTAAAAATAAAAAGTATTTATCTATATTTTTATTAACTTTTATCATAAATATAATAATTTTTAATTTTATTCTTTTATATAAAAATGAAACATACGTTTATTTTACATATTGCATAAGAAGTCACACCATTGTCGCATTAAAAAAAAAGACTAAAATATATATTTGATTTTTTAATTTTGTTCAAAATTTTAATTTGATCTTTTAATTTTAAAAAACATATTTTTATTTTTTTAATTTTATATAAAATTTCAATTTACTCATTTAAATTTATAAAACATATACTTGGTTTTTTAACTCTGAAACTATTAAGATTCGATAATAATTTTTTATAGCATTTAAAGATATTTTAAAAATTAAATTTAATCGGTTAATATTTGAGAATATCTATTTAACCCAACTTTCAATTCAAAATATCTGCATACTGCGTTCCGGAGAGTAGACGGGAATGGCGCTGGCATGGCAAGGCATGGGTTCTTCTTCCACTATTGAAGTGAACCAGGAAATTCATAATGGGTCAATTCAAGAACGAGTTGCGATTGTCGCTGGTTCGTCCCGCGGAATCGGACGGGAGATTGCGCTTCATCTAGCTTCACTCGGTGCGAGAATCGTGGTCAATTACACCTCCAATTCGGCCCAAGCCGAGTCACTCGCCGCTCAGATCAATTCCTCCTCCGGCCCCGGCGGAAATCCACGAGCCATTGTCGTCAGGGCTGATGTTTCCGATCCGACTCAGGTGAAGTCTCTCTTCGACGGGGCTGAGAAGGCCTTTAACTCGCCGGTTCATATCAGGGTTAACTCGGCGGCGATTGCGGATAGCAAATACTCTTCTATAGCCAATACTTCCTTGGAGGACTTCGATCATACTCTCAGGTACGTGTTTTGTCTCTCTCACCTGCTACCCCGCAGTTTTTGAAATTGCGATAAAAGCAGAGTTGCCTGTAAATTAATTATTTCTCATCAGTTCAATGAAGTGATGATGACCTTACCAATCTATCATAATTGAAGTTTCTGTCCCCGAATTGCTTTTGAGCTAGGAAAAATATGAATCATGTACGAACCAAAAGTTAATGGCCTTTACTGCCCCTTTGTTATGCAAGTTTTTTATTTTATCTCAGAATTTGATGATTTGTCTTCTCGACGCTGAATATCATTCGAAAGTGTTAATGCATTTTTGGATCATGGATTTAGCATCGTATTACGTGGGCATCCGCTCATTGGTCTTCTTTTGACCTTCCTTAGCGGAACCACACTCAGACACAGTCTCTTAGATGAAAACAGAGGGATATGGAAGAGAAAGATAGAAACCTATGAGAGCGACATCTCTGGCAGCTCCACACTGATGTCCTCCGACTGGTGGGTAGCCCTCTCCGCGAATATCGGGCTCTTAATGAAAGAGTCTTTGTTATGAACACAAATTCAAAAAGAGTGCTTAACCTCAAATGACAAGCCTACTGGTAAAGAGGTTTAACTTATAAATCACTCTCCACACTTGTGAGTTCCCTCACACGGAACTCATAACATTAAGAGGGAGAGCGCAGGGAAAGAGGGAACAAACGGAATTTGAAGGGAAAGAGAGACAGATGTAGGGGGAGGAAGAAAGGTCAGGTTCTAAATAAGCAACAAATATCACTAATGAAAAAGGCCTCGTGCATATGGTGCCTAATATCTGTTTAAAGAGCAAGGGTTCCTTCCTTCTCATGAAGGAAACATAATCAGCCCACTTATAAGATTTCCTTCCTATAAAGGAACTAAAAAGGAAAAATATTACAATTTTTCTAATACATAATTAAAATATAAAAGCAAAAAAGCAAGTTCATTTCTTCTAGAATATATTTTCCCTTATTTCACATCCTGTCTGCCTGCATGTCAGAGTTGAAGATAAAGTGACTGTACATAAAGTAGAGAAGTCTCACAAGTCACAATATAAGTGGGAATTATCTCATCCTTGATCAGCCTCCATTTCTTGTTCAGGAGGCGGAAGGGATCGCCGGATCTTTTAACATGTACTTTTTCCCTGTTGTTACAGTAGATTTCATTTTTCATTCCGGGAAAAAAAAAAAAGAAAAGGAGAGAAAAGTCTCCTTATTTGATATGCTCTGTTCTTAACGCATATTAATCTTATGCTTTTTCCTCTCTTCCTATAAAATTCTAATAAAATATGATCTATGATCCTAATTATAAAAGCTAGTTGACTAATTTGAGGAGATTAAAAAAGTAAGTTGAGTTAGTTATTTGTCCTAAATAGGTGTTATCTTTCTTAAAATATCCTTTCTAATCAAGTGTATTGGCTAGAATTATCATTGTTAGAAGGACTATTTTGAAAAAAAAATAAATAAATATGAGAGAAAAAATAGATTAGGATCTTATATTTAGGATCAAAATAAAAATCAAATAAGATCTTATATTAAAGATCGAGGTAGTAATACAACTCATCACGGGAATATACAAAATTAGGCCACACAAAAGGCATATATAGTTGACTTCTATAGTCTTTGCCATCTTTGTTACAAAATCACATGGTTAAACTTCTCTGAAAATTGAATTTTAAATTATTAGTTATTTTTTAATATAAGAGTTGGATAACTAATTTAGGAATTAAGAAAATTAGTTAAATTGGTTAATTGTAACAAATGTGTTGACTTCTCTCAACTGCAATTTTTAATCATATACATTAGAATTATTTTTTAGTAAGAACCTTTAGAATTAATAGGGATATTTGAGATAAAACATTATAGATTTGAGAGAAACAAAGTTGTTTGTGGTCTTATATTTAAATTTAGGACTAAATTCAACTCCCGACTAGTGTTTATATTAAAAACTAGAGATAGTACTAATGAATGTTTTATAATTCTTGTTCATGCAAGAGGCTGCACGTGTTGAGTGCACAAGTTTGGACTTGGCCATATGGTAGCTACAATAATTATGCTCTGTGCTGCTCTGAAAATCACAAAAATCTGTGAATCTGATACTCGGTTAAACGTGCATGTTTTACGGGTTTTCTCCTTGAAAAAAAGTCATATTATTAGGAATATACTTATAATTGATTCATAACAGTGTGAATGTGAGAGGGGCATTTCTGTGCTGTAAAGAGGCCGCAAACAGGTTGAAACGAGGAGGTGGAGGTCGGATCATAATGTTATCATCATCAATGGTGGGTTCACTGAAAACAGGCTACGGGGCATACGCGGCGTCCAAAGCGGCGGTGGAGACGATGGTGAAGATCATAGCGAAAGAGCTAAAGGAGACAGGAATCACGGCGAACTGTGTGGCGCCGGGGCCAATTGCGACGGACATGTTTTTTTCTGGGAAAAGTGAAGAACAAGTGAAGAAGGCGATTGAAGTGTCCTCTGGGTAGGCTTGGTGAGGCCAAGGATGTGGCCCCTCTTGTGGGGTTTTTGGCCTCTGATGCTGGTGAGTGGGTTAATGGTCAGGTTGTTCGTGTTAATGGGGGCCATGTTTGAGGGAGAGAAAACACATTGACCATTTTTACTCCCTTGAGCCTTAAGGCCTACAGCTTCTTTTAATAATCAGTATTTGCGAACCCAAATGTTGGGTTAATTTTTATGATCCAGTTAGCTCATCAGATCTGAAAAGAAAAATTAAAAACTCAGAAAAAATATTTGAAAGATTATTTGAGTTATTTTGAAAAAGTAAAAATAAAAGAAGAAATGATATCTGTGCTTTGGGTTCTAGTCGAAGGGATGAGCATTAAACCCATTCCTTCTTATAGTATATTGTGGATAGATATGTCAGGAAACTGATTGCCTTATTGTTTTCCCCTAAACATGCGTGAAAACCCGCAGAAGATGTATTTCTTTTTCATATAATTCAGATTTTAGTATCCTACACTATACATGGTGGACGAACAATGAATTGAATTATCAAACTATGCTTTTCATTATCACCCCAAAAAAAAAAAAATCCGTTTCACTAAGATTAAAAATGACCCATAAGATAAAATATGAAATTCAACAGTCACCCATTAAAATTATTCTTGTGTAACTATTAGAACAATGTTTTTTAAAAAATTGATAGAACAATATTGGCACCTCTCTCAATAAAAATTTAAATATTAATTCATTCACATTATGAAAGACTATCTTCTCTCAATATGAATTTGAATATTAAATCCAATCCTTATTGATGTGAGAAATTCTAAATTTACATAGCATGGGATTTGATTTGAATATGTGAACTTCTATATTGCGGATGAAATACTTACAAGTTGAATTAATTTTTGTTAACTCTCATAATTATTTTTCATGTGGAAAAATCCTAAAAAAACACCACTTGAATTTTCAAATCTTAATTAAGAATTTCTATAAAAATGTGTTGTATTTGTTTTTCCACATGTAGTCAATTGCTATTAAAGTGTAGCAAAGAAGATTGATTTGGGATTTTGAAATTCAAGTAATTTTATTAGGATTTTCCATTATTATATTAATTATACAACTTTTCATTTTAAAAAAAAAAACTTACATCACATGTGCTTAATAAGTATAAAAATAGAATGTTAATTTCTATTCGGGATCATAAATATAAAATAATATTATTTAAACTAAAGCAACTCTATTGCCTTGACTGTTTTTCGGATTGTATACCCTTTTTTCCCCCATATAGCGAAAGGTGAAGCCCTTGAGTTGCAATTGTAGCGGAAGATACTCAAGGTACTGAAAACCGGACCATTATGAACAGGTCAGGACAGTGGATTAAGGGTTAGTGGGTTAGATCGGAGTCAGACCGAGGTCAGACCAGTCATAATAAAAATAATATAATTCTTAATTATATAATAATAAAACAAAATGATAATATAAATTTTTTTAAATAATATAAATAAATGGCAAAATATAATAACACACAAATTTATAATAAACATAAGTTTTATTTTTTAGAATAAATAATTTTATTTTCCTACACCTACTTTTTTTGAACATCAGTTAGACTTACACATCTCTACCTAGGCACTAATATCCTTACAGCTTAGCCAACAAAAGCCGCATCCGAATATGGACATTTTTGGTCTGCATATAATTTTTTTATTTGACTTTTCAAAACTTTGTTTTCTCCTAATGTAGCAGACTGACTGAACATTACGTCTTCTACAGGTTCGCTCGGCGCTTTTTTCCCCAGGCGTCTACCTCCTTCGCACTTCTTGAGTTCTTCACTTCTTCTTCCTTTCCAGTTCCTCTTCGTTTTCTTCCGTCTTCTGCAGGTTTGCTCGGCGCTTTTTTCCTCCCTCTTATCAACGATTTAGTGTTCTCCTTCTCTCTCTATTAACAACTATATACTATGCTAGGTAATTTTTTTATATTTTTTCCTTTTCTTTAAGTTTCTTTTTTCTTTTTGTATGCTTTTATCTCCGTCTTCTTCAACCTTTCTTCTTTTCTATTAGAGCGTGGTGTCATCCTTGGAACCCAGAAGACAAAAGAAAAAAATTAAGTCGGTGACCCATCTGACCCAGTGAGTTACCCGAGTTGCGTCCGGGTTACACCGGTTTAAAAGGGGTTAGGCCGGGTTGGTTTCTTTCCGGTTTTAGATAAGAACCGGACCGGACAAGTGACCGGTTTGCCGGTTTCCGGTCCGAATCGGCCGGTCCGGTCCAGGTTTTAATACCATGAATACTTGAGCTGTTCGCGGAGTCTCAAATTTAAAATCATGTGAATGCAAAAAATCATTTTTGGAAGAGTTACCTTAATTGAGGGCAATAATACTCATATAACCGCAAGGTGTAAACAATTAATATCAATGAGAGTGAAAAATAAAAATAAAAATTAATCTTTTAATTTTTAACACACTTATCATTTAGGGAAAATTTCATTTAAAGACTACTAAAGACAATTGATTTCCAAAAGCTCCCAAAACAATCCGAAATGTCATTGCAGGACCATGGAGACAAATTGAAATTAACTTCAAAACAAAAAAGACAGTGTTGCCCATCAAACTGTGACTGTGAAATTTGAAGTCTTATTCTCTCTCACTCTCAACTCCGAATATTTAAAGCCCCTCCCTCTCATTCTCTGAAAAATCCCATTCATGCGTTGAAGGAGATCGTTCACCTCGCCATCATTGCTGTTGTGGTAAGGATAGCCTATTGTCGCCATTGTTCTAGTAAAGAGAGCCTCCGTCGTTCCCCCCGCTCTGACAACGAGAGCCTCCATCGCTGCACCTACAAGTGTTAGACAAGAGCCTTCGCTGTCGCCGTGATCTCTCTCTTTGTGTGTATGCGATCTCTTTCACTGCTTTCAATTTTGAAATTCCTTCTCCATTTCTTGTATTGTAGATTTTATGAGTTTGGTTTGGGTTGTCATGGAGTTCTAAACTAGTGAGGAATTTTTTGATTACTCATATTTCAAATAAAACTATTTAGTGGTTGAGTTTAAATTGACATCATTAAGTGTTGAGAGTAAGTCTCCTTCATTTGTGCATTTTTAGTTCCTATCTTGTGTATTCTCAGTTTATCTATACTCACAAGTGTGTGCCGGCTTTTCATACTACGAGTTTATTTCTTCAAAGAGGCACATATTTGACGTTAATTTTGTGATTAGTGTTATCCTTTTTTCTAGTAAGTTCATATGTCTTCCTAATAATATGTTAAATGCATTAAAATACATTATCCTTTAACAAGTTAAGTTAGGATATTTTCAACAAGAATTAGTGTATTTACAAGTAAAGTGGACAAAAACTTGAACCAAATACTCCCACAACACTTGGGCCACAATTTGGATGAATATAAATACATTTTTGCACCAATTCTGTTTGTAATGCATTGGTTTTGCTTTGTCTTTGAACCAAGTACATTAAAGTTTTATGTGTTTGATTCATTACATGGTGAGGAAGATGCAACTAAGAACAAGAAAAAGAAGAAATAAGTTGATTTAGCATACCAAAGGCAGCAAATAATAGCTCAATTTTGTATTAGTTCAACTTTATTATTCTTCTACTTTTCCGGATAATCATAGTGTCCCTTATGTGATCGTCATTTTTAATTGTTCATGAGTTCATTCATTATTTTGAGTTTTCATTGATGACCTATGTTAATCTATTGATAATACTTATTGTTGTGCTATAGGAATGAGTTGTTGTGATGGCTTGTTACTCACTAAAGAAATACGTAGTCAACTGCTGTTGCGAAACTCCTTTAACGGATGAAGACACAATTTAAAACAAAGCAATGATATAGGAATTGTTATATTTCTATTTCAGATGTAATTTAAACTATTTTAGAATATGCTAAAATTTGGGTGAAGAGAATTTGCATAATTTCTATTTTAGGAAATATATTATGAGTAAATTACATGTTAATTAATTATAATTTGTTGTCTTTTCCCACCAACTTGCAAGTATGTGATGTATTATTGACAACTCAAATTAGGAAATTTGCAACAAGGATATGTTGATTAACAACTTGATGTCATGGGTATTTGGCTGTCATGTTTGTAACGTCGCTGCTTACCTAACTAGAACTAACTATGATAGAAAAGAATAAAACCAACAAACATACCCTATTGTGGTTATTTAGAAACAATCACATCTTTAAGGAGCTAACCATAATATAAAGGCATTCAACCTCAATTAAGGCTATCATGGTTAGAAAAAAGAAATACCTTATCATTTGTAATCAACATACACTATCATGTAATACATTCACATGCAAATCATGTTAGAAAAGATTAATCATAGCAAACCTGGTTATAAAACAACACATCTCTGATTAATAAATTATAACAACAATTCATATTTGACTATCTCAATCGATATTAATAATGACTAAACTTGCAAAAATTACCATTATCACATCGTGGGTCCACAAATAATCCGATCACATACAACCTAAAGGCCTCTGACCCACTACCAGCACTCCAAGCCAATGTCCAGACAAAATAAACCAAAGATAGAAGATACAATGTGTTCATCAAGACAAAAATATAAGAATATGAGAAAGTAAAATAAGTTCCAAATAAGTACAGTCCTGATGCCTGACAATATACTAAAAGATTACATAAAGTAAGGCTCAAAAGCTTTACACTGTCAGTTTTCAGCTATTGAGCCACAAAAGTCTTCCTCCAAGGTTCTGCTGATGTATTGTTCCCTGAAAATGGTAAAGTAATGCGAGGAAGACAATGTCTCAATAACTAAATTTCTATCTATCATACATACTTGCATGGGCTAATATGGTGTTTGGGGAATATACTTTTTGAAACAAATATATTTTCACTCCACAACTAGAATATATTTACCATATTAATTAGCCAGTCTCAAAACATCTTGATCAATCTCAAAAATAATATAACTATTATCTTATCTATAAGATAGTAACTCAGGAATTGATCAATCTCAAAAATAATGTAACTGTTGTGTATAAAAAAAAAATAATATAACTGTTATCTTATCCACAAGATGGTAACTCGAGAATCATTCAAATTAAACATGCAAGTATAATTTCCAAATCCAACCTTATCTCCTCCTTATTTTCATCGACTGAACCCATGGGCTAAGTCTTGTCATATGATTGGCTACTCTTACAAGCTCATCACATGAGTGGCATAGACAAGGCAAAGTTCATAAAGCACTTAGTGGACCATGGGTTCACCTTCAAAGAACTACTGAGGTGTTGCAGTCTCTCGAAGAACTAGTGGGACAAGAATAGAGGCCAATTATAGAGCTTCCTGTGGAGGTCAATCATCTCCTTCCCCCCACCCAAACTAGATGCATAGTGTTTACAATAACATATTTATATGCATAATCAACCAAATTTCATAATAATACCTCATAATCATAATCATTAATTTCTACCAACATAAACGATTTCAATCATTTTCAAAATAGCATCCCCAAGACAGTTCATACAAAACATAATATATGTATACAAGAATTGGTTATAAAACCACTCATCAACCTCATATCAGAGCATGCAACAGATAGAAATTTAGTTACCAGTCTCATAGCTAACAGTCAAATACAACTAAAACCCAACCTTGAAAACACCACAGTAGGGTTTATATTTACAAACAAAATTAAAATGTTATCTCTATAGTATTAGAGTAAGCTACTCACAAAGTCCTAGCCTCTAACTCCTCCTTTAAAAGCTTCAACTTTTACTTAGAATTCTAGCTCAAAAGGCCTTTTTTTAAAGGTTTCAAGTAAGAACATATATATCTGAGTTAGACTCGATTTCTTGATTTTTCTTAACTTAAATATCATTTAATTATTAGGTTATATCATTAGAATCATCAAATTCATAATATAAATAGAAAAACTCCAATTTATAACTTATGTTCTATCTTTGAAAGACTTAGATAAATAGATTTAATACGAGTTAGGTTATTCTCACTACAGAAGTTAAACTATTAATCTAATTGTTGAATTTAATTTTCTATCTATCATGATTCTATTTTCAAAATTATAGCTCAATCGAATGATAAACGAACTTAAAAAAACTAATTTAATATTCAAAACTCTACTTACCAAATTTGAAAAAAAGAGAGAGTTGAAAATGACCTAATAACTTGTAACTTAGACATCGGATTGATGATCCAACCATTGAAATTGACGATTTGGATGTCCCAAATGAGCTGACCAAATGGTACTCTAATCCAACGGTTAAAAAACTCAAAACTAGTATTTTTCTAAAACTGCCTTAGATATGTGTGAAAATTGTTTACTTACTCCAAACTTCACTTACCACCTCTTATATATAGGCTCCTTAAACTCCTTTATTCTAGTAATTAGTCGATGTGGAATTTCTATACCATGCTATACTTATTTATTCTTATAATATCACACACACACACACATTTTCACACATATACACAGTCATGATTAATTCAAAAATAATTTACCTATATTTAAATTTCCATTAACTTGATAGTAAAAGATATTTAGTTATAAATTTAATTAAATTCTACGTATGAAAATAAGGATGTTACAATGTTGACAATTAGAATTAGGAAATTTGCAATAAGAATATGTTGAGTGACTGTTCATAAGTGGAATTAGGCAATTTGTAAGAAGAATACATACAATAACAACAAAAATATGTCCATATGCAAGTCAATTAATTTATTCATACATTTATATAGTTGCCAACCAATTTTAGTTCAGTACTTGTAACAGCTTACCTCCAAGTACCATCATGAAATTTTCCATCTATTCATTGCATTATACAAAATAGATTTCAACTCACCCTAAAAAATCTAAATAGGTTGTCACAGCTACTTTCTAAACCATTCCAAAAATGCATATTGAGATTCATATATATGCAAAAATAGGT